TTAAGGTTAAGGTTACTTTATTGTCATCAACGGCTTTATACAAGTACAAAGTGTGACGAGACGTTTCCCCATGGGTCGGGTGCAACATCTAGTAACATTGAACATCACATACAACAGGGCAAAAAGGTGCAAACAGGCAACACAATAAAGTGCAAAGGGTACGATCACGATTTAGTGTTCATTGTTGTTTTAATATGATCCATAAGACATCCGATTTGTGTTTCACACGGTCTTTGCTTCGCATGTAGTAATGATCAATAAGTCTGATAGTTAAGCTCCCTCAGCTGGTCAGTCATTTAAATGAAGACTATTATTCCATCTCACATCATTCTTCATGCACCCCTGCCAAATATATAGGATATTTCATCTGAAATAATCAGCATCATTCATTGTCACTTTGTGACCTGCATACATGCCAAATTGGCAGTGGAATTAAGGTCAATCAACAGTGCTGGGTTAGTTACACAAAAATAGTTATTAGTATTAGTAAATTGCCAATTACTTCTTCAAATTGTAATTACTTCACTTGTCATTCCTTTTGAAAAGTAATTACACTACTCATTACTTCACTTTTGATGTAAACTATAAATCTAAAACTATTAAATCCCCAATTTACCACATAAAAATACATGGGCAAACATCATACTCCTTTCATTACTTTATTGTCAGTGCTTTGTGCAGGAATATTTTTTTTACGGGCTTGGACAGGTTGCTTGTTGAATTTACAGCAGTAGAAAGGTGTTTCTAAGCTGGGAATAGCTTACATTTCACAATCTGCCTAATATTCTTGTCTTTTCAGTTAGTAAACTGAAAATAATTAGAGTATATCTGCTAGTTGAAGCACCCTGTCTCTTCTGCCATGTTAAAATTTCCTTTTTGATCTAGAATTATGTTTCTAAAATTGATGAGCATTCTTCTACTTTACATCGTCCAATTCTAAAATAATTGTAAAATGTGTAAATACGATCCTGTATTACAAGTGAGTGGTGGTAACCCTAGTCTTGACCTTATGGGTTCCCAGCCATGACCACGTCAGTCCCCAAGTGTGGCAGACTTTCACTTTTACAATAAATGGCACAATCATTCTAACCATGTCAGTATAGACCAAAAATATATTACCTTAATTGTTAAGTTTTTGGGCGGCATGGTGGTGCAGTGGTTAGCACTGTTGCCTCGCACCTCTGGGATCTGGGTTCAAGTCTCCGCCTGGGTCACATGTATGTGGAGTTTGCATGTTCTGTTGCTGCCTTCTCAATTGAGCCTACCTACTTTTAAAACTGTGTATGTCAGAAAAGTTTTTTTTATTATTATTATTTGTATTATATATATACACATCAATGGACCCAGTGGATCCTTCCAGAATCCCACAACTGGCATAAGCCATGGGAAAGGAGGGTACACTCCTAGGTTGGCACCAAACAGAACAGGAAGCCATACTGTACATGAAAGTTTGCAGTCCTTCAGCACCGGTCTGACATAGCTGGCTACTCAGGTGCAGTGCCTGCATCTGGTTTGCCCCTTCGCTTTAACGCTGCCACATGCCAGCGAATCTTGATTAACACCTCCAGGTTAGTACAACGGGAATCCTAGTACATGCTGCTCATTCCTGTCTTAGTGTTTTCTCATTTTTTAACTTCAGCCCACTCCTTTCCCCACAGAGCGGTCACATGTAGCCTATGTAATAACCTTATTAACTGGCTCTACCAGGGAATGGGCTACCACCGCTTGGGATTAGGTACTTCCCCTTTGTGCAGAGGTTCTTGTTTTGTGGAGGAAAAGAGTGGGTCTTTGACCATTCCATGTACAGAAGAGAGGCAACATGTGCGCCAGAGGAACTGATCTATTTATGACAACGCCTTTCAAACCTTAGCCGTGTCAAGTGGTTTGGATAAGAAGGCACAAGCGGATGCATTTTATCACATACCCGCTGTTCTTTAACTAGTACAGTCGGGGAATAAAGACCCACGTGGGAATTGAGATCATTTTCTGTGTATGGTCATATCATTTATGATTAGGCCACATGTAAATGAACCTGGAGGGTACAATCCAAAAAATGAAAAAGTTTAAAAGCAAAGTCCCGTTTCCCTCCCCCGAACTAGGGTCACCGGGGCCCCACCCTGGAGCTGGTGGAGGTAGCTGGGGAGAGGGAGGTCTGGGTGCCTCTCCTGAAGCTGCTGCCCCCGCGACCCGAACCCCGGACAAGTGGTAGAGGATGGATGGATGGATGGATGGTAAATGAACCTGTAGTGTTGATTCTTTTAACCTTATGAACCAAAGTTTTGATATACTATGACTTTGGCACATTTAGAGAGGTATGCATTCAGAGCGCAATGACGAAACCTAACGAAGATTCTAGTTATGTTTCAGACAAAATAATTATATCATACCATAACTATGTTAGTATTATTTTAAATGAGCAGTATGAGCCGACAGAGAAGACTCAGACTCAGAGTCTCAGACTAACCTTACCTAAGAATTTCTTACAGAAGAAATACCTAACTAAGAACATTTGGGTAAACACGTCGGAGCGTTGAGAAAATTAGGAAACAACTTAAGTTAGAACTTACGAACGGTGTATCTAGATGATTTCAGGAAACGCACCCCTGATCTTTAAGCCGTTTCTCCACTGGCTCCTGGAACTGTGCAGTAACCATACCTAGAACTAAATGTTTTTGACTGCAAAGCATGTGAGCCGTACCCATGCTGCCGTGGACTTGCTTAGTAGGAGAGATAGTGTGACCAAACTGAGCTGGTTGCTTCACCACATGCTGATTGGTGGAAATGCGCGGAGATATCGGTGTACTGCACAAGGATTAGCTGAAGGAAAATTTGTATATTATGTATTTTATTAATTAATAGTAGTATACCACATTGCGATGTACCAGTGCATTCCTGAAACTCGGGACTTTACAATTTCCAACCCCCTACTTAAAAAACTTGATGGATTTGAATTCACATTTACGCTAGTGTTTAATAATTGCATAACAAGGTGATTCTCGACTTGCTAGTGGAAATTAATAATAAAATAATTGCACATAGTAAATCACGATATACACAGCGTGAACAGCAAATAAGTGTCGCTTTGGTTGTACCTCACTGACGCACTCCAAGTCTCGCCTTTACCGAGCCGACCCTTCTACAGTGGAAAACTGAAGCGAGCAGGAACTGCACTGTAACTAGTCTTTCTTGTGGTATGTCTTGAGTACAGGTCCATTCCTGTATGCCAGTGGAAAAATCACCCTTAGTGCTTTGTGGAACTACCTGATGTGACTATGAGGTGGCACGTATAAGTTATTGTGATAGAAGTTATTGTGACCAGACAGGGAAACAGCAAAAATTGTCCTAATCGCATTATCATAGAGACCAGATATAGAGGAATTGTTTTAAATATGGACTTTTGGTAGAGGAGCTACTGTTACTGCTCAGAAATTAAAAATTTCTTAACTATTTATGGCGATGTTTTGAAAGCTTTTTTTATTACTTAGGGGGCGCTAGTTGGTTGACAGAACAAAGGCAGTGGTTTATAAAACCCTGCAGGTACTAAAAATAAATGCTCTTGTGCTTAATCTTTTAATTTCAAACAAAGCTTTCAAATTAGTTTTATATTTTTGCAATTATACAACTTCAAAAATAGATTGAATAAAGCAGCATATTTATTGTAAAAGTGAAAGTCTGCCACACTTGGGGACTGACGTGGTCATGGCTGGGAACCCATAATTGTGGTTGGAAGGTGTACTTAAAATTTAAATGCATCTGGAATTGTATAGATTAATAAAAGTACAGCATGCATAACTGAGTTCACCCATGTAGTATGCAATGTACCCCCAAAACATGGTAAATATTATGAATTTTAACAGTAGTCTGTGAAACCCCCAAAATACTTGATTTTAAATAATCTGATGAAACATTCAATATTTTAATATAATATTAGAAGATTTAATTTATGCAGGAAAATGTATTTCTGGTAACATTCTGACTATCTAATCCATCTGTTTTCAAAGTGCTCATCCTGGTCAGGGTAATGGGATATTTTGTATTTCCCTTAATGTAAAAGTTTATTGGTAGCAAAACAATCCACACAATGGCCGTGTATATAATAGGATCCACAAAGGTTTACAACATTAACATGTATGCGATAGCCCCACCACCCAACTCCACTACTACTTATATCTCTTGATGGACGGTGCATTCAAAAGTTAGCACTTCAATTACCCTTTAAAAGTCAGATTAAATATGTAATCTTCAGCAATGCTTCTTTAACATGGCAAAGCATTCAACCTCTAACTACCAGATTCATTAAACATGTTTTATTTGTTTACGGGTATGAGCTACTTGCATCAATGGCATTTGATATATATTTATGGTAGCAGGTTTAGATCTCTAAATGCTTATTTATATTATACTAGTAGCTCTCTATGCAATGTGGTGGAAGAACATTTCTCATTTCTAACTATTCCACATATAATGCATTCCAACTATTAAAAGTAACAGACATGGAATCCACCACCACCCCCCCCCCCTTCCGAGGCACAGCGTTAGGACAAGCGACAATTCTCATATAGTAATTTTGGGTTACACTTTACATTAACTGCACCTTCATAAAGCATGCATTATGCATTAATAGAACATTCAGTGCACTGTCATAATACATTCATGATGAATTTATAGAACACTCAGTCAGCATGTATCTATACCTTAACATCCTAAAAATACCTTAACAGCTTTAATATACATTAATAACAAATATTATCAGATTAAATGATTATAATGTTAGTTTTTAGTGTATATTAAGGCTGTTAAGGTATGTTAGGATATTAAGGTATATTTACATGCTTTTTATGAATGCTCTATAAATGCATTATGTAGGGGCATTATGTAGGGTTCTATGAATGCATTATAAAGGCATAATGAAGGTGCAGTTAATGTAAAGCGTTACCCAATTTTGTATGTAACCTTTTCACATGAAGCAAAAAGGTGATTTAAATTAAAGGACAAACAAAAAGGTTTCAGGCTTTAAATGCTGGCAGCTAATACTCAGCTGTTACATTTTATGTTTACAACATAAGTGCTGGGCAGTACACGTGCATAGGTAAAACAGTGTGCATGTCCACAAGTGACACTTCCCTTGGCAACAAAGCCCCAACTCTCAACTGGCAACCAATGGCTAGAAATGAATTGGACACCACCCTGTTAGAAATTTGCTGCTTTCAAATTAACTTCAGCAATAATGGTCTGCTGGCAAACAGTCTTTTACTTGGTTCTTAGCATTCACTGGATCGACCTGAAAAGTAAAGAATTCATCAGTGTGGTTTAATTTCAGGAAAGCAAGCAAGATTTAAACACCATGCCTTGAATCCTTAGCTGGGTTCTGATTTATATGTCCCCATTATCAACGACAAATATGGAAAGTAGTTTCCAAGGAGAGTAGATAGCACCTCTGCTTGCATACATATGAACAAGTCAAGGCTTGTTCACCCAGGAGGCTATGCTAAGTATCGGAAACTATGAATCAGTACAGTCTCGGTATAGTCAAAGTGCTGAGTGTTGTCATGCTTCTCTGTGGATTGGGTCATATTTGTCACATGACATTTTTAGCCAATCGAAATCACTGAAACGGGGATAGGTAAGTACAGATCTTTATACACACCCTGGTCATTGAGCATCTGTGAAGCTGCGCTGCTACCAGTTCTTCTCCTGTATTAAGACCAAATAATAAACAGTATTTTTTCTAAATGAAGAAAGCATTTTAGGTGCCTACAATCTCCATTATCTATGCATGAATAACTGTCATTAAATGACAAAAGAAGCTTTAGGCCAACAAATCTACAGTAACGTTGTGCTAATGTATTAGTATCCCATTCAGGGTTTGCCCCTGCTTACTTATCCATGTAAAAAAATGCAATAATAAATTAGAAAAAAAAATCTTCAATTGTTTGTTTACAAAAGTTTATAGGAGTACTTCATTTGCAAAGGTCATACTCTTCACCTTTTGTCTTGGTTGAATTTGCATCTGCAATGTCCACCTGCAAAGACAAAAATGTTACTTATGCAGTTCTTCTGCCACTGTACTGTATATGTGCAGTTGTAGGGACTTTGTATAGGAGAAAAAAAAATTACCATAAAGAATGATAGTACCAATGACACAATCCACATCAATGTCTTTTACTGTGCCCCCCTACTCCACTACTGCTTTCTCAGATACATACCATTTCAAATGTTGAAATATTCTACATTTAACTTTACTTAACATGACACATCTTCTGAATCTTCTGAAAACTGTAGTTACCAGATTCATTAAGCATTGAAAAGTTACATTCAAATGGATAGCAATAAGTTGCACCAATTACATTTTATTTGTGCTTATAATAGCTGGATAAATTTAAAAATAAGTATTTTGACAACAGTAGTTCTCTGTGCAGTAATGTGGTGGTCAAACATTGTACATTTATAGTAAAGTATGGCATTGCATTATTTAAACTGCTGTTAAAGTAACAGAGGAAACCCAGCCTTAATTCATATGTCTACATATTCATATATACATTTTATGTATGTTTCTAAAATTTTTATGCAATGTGAAATGTAGTTTGTTTGCCTCTGTCATTTTATGTGCTCATGTTCTTAAGTGTATTTTTACATAAAAATACTCACTGAGAAGAATGGTGATACCGATCAGACACAGGACTGCTGCCAGGATCAAACCCCCAACACGAAGTCTGTGATAATCTACAGCAAGAAACCATTCACGTAAAAATTGGCAGCTGAAGTGAAATATAAGGCATATAATAGTAAATAGCTTGAAAGCAGAGAAATTATGAAAAAAAGAGGAGAAAATTCACAATATTAGTACTTCAGACAATCATCACAGAGAATATATGAACATTTTCTCACCAAAGGTGAAAGGATCATCTTCGGGTGCTGTAATTATAGCAATAAAATAATTATAATTAGCTTTTGAAAACAACATCACTGCAAAGTAAACTGAACTGTAAGATATTTTTTAGTTTATTTTGTACAGCTCGCCTCAACAATCCAGTGTTATTGGCTAGTTTTTATTAAAGATGCTCTCATGTGCACTGTATTTTATCCCAGGACTTGAAATTTTTTGTAAAAAACAGGGCTTGCATGGAAATCTGAGAAAACTTGTGATTGATTTAATATATTTGGTTTTATATTCCTATCCAATCCCAAAACACATCTGTGGGGTCTTCGGGGGCGGGGAGAGAGAATGGAGCCTATCCCAGGGCGATTCGACGGAAGAAGCCCTGAGCTTTCCTTTTTCCTTTTATATATTTCAGTAAAGATAAAGACAGTTCAAAACATAGTGTACATGCAAGCAAATTTCAGTTTCAAATTTCAATTTCAAAAACACGCAATGGAATAAATGCTAAATACATACATTGCTCTGGATCCTCAGCAAAAACAATCGAAGAAACTGCAAGCAAAAAGAATAAAAATAGGAGGCTTTTAAGTGATTTTAGTATCACATGGTTTGGAACAGTGACCAAGGTTTAAATATAGTGGGTCCCCACTGCCCACCCACCCTTCTGTGTACCTGACAGGGCTCTCCCTACTCTCTAATCCTGAATTTACTGACAGTGATGAATGCCTACCGTTTCTTGAAAGAAGCTGAAATAGCACTGCAGTGAGAGTATAGAGCATGTTCTGTGTCCTTTTAATCAAAGAACCACTATTAAGAAAGAATAATTTTGCCTTCAACTAAAGCAGTGATATTAAAAGTAATATTAAAGGCAGTGATATTCTGCTTCTTACATGTAAAGAAGACTAGGGCTGCGGTCTTTGCCATCTTGAACTGTATCTGGAAGGAAAATTAAACATAAAATTTAAGGCAAATTAAAATTTTGCATAAATCTGTGCTTTTAATATTCCTTTAAGTAAAGCAGTTTAATTACTGTTGTCTTATTCCCTCTATAGCCTGCAAAAATCACTGATACTGGTACAATACTACAAATGTCTGTACATGCAGATCTTCAACTACCTCATTAAAATAACCCAATGAAAAATAATTACTCCATAATGCTCCTTGAATTATGAAATATTATGGTTGGAAAAAAATAAGTATTTGCAGTGGGTCAGTTTTGAAAGTTGCACTATATAGATATTGTAATACAGAAAAAAAATGCTTTAAGTTTCAAGCAAATGAAAAGTTCACAACATTTACTATATTAGAACAGAATTCCTCTACCCCCCCCCCCCAAAAAAAAAACAAAAAAAACTGTCCAGATGGAAAAAATCTGCAGCACTTCTGGTACAAGGCTCCTGTAATTTTCCATGGTCTTTATTGGGGAATGATTTAGTCCACAGCTATTATGTATGCCTTTATACAGAATACCACCCTAGGCTCTCATATTGAAATGTCTATCAAGGACAGAAAGAGCAGAGGGTGGGGGGAAGATATCCAGGACTTGCAGTGAATACCACATGACTGAAATTAATCTTCATTTCCTGGGTACTGCCATTTCATTCCTTTGATCACAACACACTTAGTACAATGCTGCTGAAAGGAGGTAGCATCTTGCTGGGAATGTAGAGTTCACACTAAAACTTATGCACCACAGAGTGGTTTCACGCTCTTATTCTGAACTCAGGAGTAAGTCTCCTCTGGACATTCCCAAAGGTGTCATTCATAGTAAACAAATAGTCTTTTAATTGATCTCAATGTAAAGGATTTCATGCAAACTTCTGCACATAAACTAGCAACCACCCACTAGTTATCCAAGTATATGTGGTGCTGTCGGAAATGGCAGCACTGTATTACCCAGACCACTCTGTCATTTGGTCCAGCAATCTAATCCATACTCGTCCCACACTCACCAACTTTCTAGAAGTACTGGATGGATCTCCTTGAAATATGAATGCTAATGTGTTTCCACCTGAATTCTGTGATATGTAGGTCTGAAAGGATACCAATTCATTTATTGCACATTCCAAATATATGGCAATTACATGGGGGGGGGGGGGGGGTGCTGGTGCCCATGCATGTAAGGGTATAACCAACAGAATTATGGCAGGGGTTAAATAGGGAATCAGAAATATGCTTGTACCCATTACATGATGCTAACTAAGAATATTTAAAACGTGTAAAATAAATGGGCGCTACATACTGAATACACTGAACTGTACTAGTAACATAAAAGTTCATGGCCAGAAACCTGATCAGTTACAGCTTACACAGAGGAAATATGGAGAAATATCTAGCTGCTAGTAGTGCTAAAAGAAACACTGGTTAAAATTCCACAAAGCACAAGTAAAGATTGTCCCACTTCTTATAAGCCTTCCCCAACCCAATATATGGTGCCTAACACATTTTAATGTTTGTGTCAAATATGGATTTTTTTTTTTTGAAAGTTGTAATTTCAAATAGATCTGGCCTAGATTTTTCCCCTTACCTGGACCCCCCCCACAAGTCTTTCATGCCCCAATGGCAGAGCATCCCACTGTTTGAATACCTCAAGCATATACCTTTAGTGTAGGGTAAAAACTCATTTATTAACGTTCACATTTCTAGGTAATCAATTGAGGTACATCTAGAAATTGTACATTGGTGAGAGATGAGTATGGTTTAGATAGCCAGGCCAAATGACAGGGATGTCTGGAGAATACAATGCTGTCATTTCCAACAGCACGAAATATATACTCATTCTTATTGCTTTCTCATAGGGAAATGGCAGACTATTTGAAGAGAAACCTGAAGGCTGATTTATACTTTGCATATAATCTATGCCAGGGGTAGTATAAATCAGCCCTGAAGCTTTCCTGCAGTATAAAATTTGGTTTTATGAAAACAAATCTGCTGTATACAGAAAAATCTTCCTCATTCTGACCCTCTGTTCTGCTGAGAAACTACAGAAAGTGGAAACAAATGAGGCAAGTGGGAAAGGCTCCAAGCCAGCCGACATTTTACAGAGCAGGAAAGTGTTTGCCTTTTGAAAAGGGCATCATGTTACAGAGCAAATGTTTGCCAGCACAAGCTCCAGGGAGATTGAGTAAGACTGCCTGCGTGGACCAATTCCCCCCTATCCCAAGTCTGTTAGTCTGAGGCCACCAACCTTCTGCAGTTCCCCTAAAGTGGGCTAGAATTACATTTTCCTTCAGCTCTCTGCAGTATTAGATACCTGTGTCTATCCACCTCATTATATTATGCCTCAGCCCCGCTTCCTGCAAACCAAAGGCAACACACTGATGACTAAATAGCCCTGTTTGAACCCTTGCTATCAGCTTATATTACAGTATGAACCAGCGCAATATTAGTAAGTCAGGAGATGGTTTTGGCCATTAAAAATGAGAGCTTGTTGAGATGTAAATGGATCTACAATTAGAAAGTTCTAGAATACCCAAGATTAATAAAACTGTATCCTATAACTCCACAGGAAAATAAACAATACCTCCTGTCATTTATGCAACATACTCTCTCAGTGGCCACTTTATTAGGTACACCTACATGCTAGGTAGGATCCCCTATTGTATCCAGAATCACAAGTGTTTGGAGATACCTTTTTGCTCACCACTGTTGTACAGGGGTATGACTCCCAAAAGCATAATTGCTAATGTTAAACTGGCAGCTTACCTAGTTGGAACCATGCAACTGAATGGTACCAATTATTTTACTTGCTAAGGGGAACTTCTGCGAAACATACCCATGAGCTGTTTGTGCTGACTTGTAAAAACTTTCTCCTCTGACCTCACATTAAAATGGATCTTTTTGGCAACACGACTGCCTCTGGCTAGATGTTTTTTGTTTACCACACCATTCTCGGTAACCTCTTTAGAACATAAAAATCTCAGAACAGTGGCTTTCTCTGGGATGCTGGTGCCAGCATGTCTGGAATGAACTACTACACTAGGTTTAGAATCGCTAGATCATATGTCTTAGCCATCCTAAAGCTAATTTGCACTGTAACTGAACCCCCTAATACTGACCGCATACAGTACATATTCATTTGCAGCCACATGATTTGCTGTTTGTACTGCTTTGTGTTAAAGAGATACTTAATAAAGTGGCCACTGAGTGTGATTAATAGGACTTATGTTCATAAGTCATAATATACAATCTTTTTAGACACATAAAACCATATCAGGTTGTGTGTAGACATCTGTGACAAGTGTCCCCTTGCTGAGATCCATACTCTTTGCCCTACATTGTCACTAACCATAATTGGAAAGGCTAAGCCCAGCAAAAGATGTGACTTGACAATGGAATTCAGACTGTAGCTAAATTAAGAACTGCAGCCTGCCAATTCTGTAGCCGCAGCCAATGATGTATAATAAAAGTCAGAGTACTTTACTGTACAATGCCTTGGTATAGTATTTACAGATAAATGGGGCAGCTCTCAGTCACCCTCCAGCACCCTGACCAGCAGCTCTCCTATAACCATGCATCTGTTAGCCAGTTTCTTTGATGTCCTATCTTTCTTCAGTAGACTGTAACTTCAAGAAATCATAAAAAGTATGAAAACTGTCAAAACAGTTGAAAGGAGAATGCCTTGATAATCATGTTGTTTTGATCCTTCCAAATGCTTACAGGGCTACATTTTAACTGGTTTTCTTATTCGTGCATCATGTCCCATTACTAAAATTAACCAAACCAGAGTTTTTAAAAAAAAAAAACTAAGAAAAATGACCAGTATGATGCATTTAACGAAAATACATGTAATTATTTTAGAGCAAAATTTATCAGACTCCCCTAGGAGTTCAAATACATCAAATTATTACATTATATGTCCATACTTAACATGCTCAACTGTGCAGTTTGTGCTGCATTACCCATTGTACATTCGCCTACCATTCTCCCAGGTCATACTTGTAAATTTAAGTATCCAAATCCTGGTGTTAACATTGTTTAAACTGATTTTGAACCATCATTCTGTGAATGTGTGTGTCGGGCACATTAACAGTTTGTTTCTGAAGCTTCCCGCCTTTTCACAGATGGCAACTTGAGGCCCTGTCTAAGGGACAGGTTTCTCACATACCACACCTACCTTCATTCAGGCAGGCCAGCCCACCTTCTTTGAACCCTGTTTTCTATGCCAACACCACAAACAGAACTATTTTGTTTCATATCAGTAATCTAATATTCAAGCAAATCTTCAGGATTCAAAATTAATTCATCAACTAATCACCAGTTACAAAGAATGTGATTCCTGCTTAAAGTGCCTTGTTTTTGTAAACTGTAAGAAATGAGAACAGGTGCTATAAAGAATAAACACTACAATAAAAATAAACATCACAATAAAATGGAACTACTCTAATGATGATGTGATGACTTATGGAGCCATTGAGCTTTATTTTTTTAGCAGCATGTAATGACTAGTGTGTAAATAAGAAAACACATTATTGCCAAATAGCTTTTAGTCCTGGTTTGGTCAGATTTATGAAGGAGGAATGAGGCTGGAATTGACTTGCATATTATGTGTGTATGTTGTTTTTGTTGTCTAGCACCGCCACCCCCTTCAGGTTTTGCAATCCTTTCCCTATCATTAAATCCAGGATGGGGAATGCTCATCCCAAAAAAGCAGCCCAAAATGTTATACGGCTGGAAACTGCTATGAGCTATGCTATAACTAGCCTTTTTCATGGCTCAACTACACATTTGGAATAACACAGCAGTGACTCACGCTTCCTCCCGCAACCTCTGGAGATGACGTCTTTTTCTTAGGGGCTTTTATGCTCCGGCAAACCACTGCAGCAGGTCAGGCTTACACATTTTCCCCAGTCTTTTTCCTCAGTAAATATATCACTAGCTAATAAATAGGCTGCTCACCCTCAATATATGCATCTTTTATTATTTCAAAATCCACAGGAAGAATGAATTCACTAATAATGAATATAGTAAACATTGTGTATTAGTGCCAAACAACTACAACATATACCCCATAGACTACTGGTAAATATTGTTAAAAAGTTCATTTGGCGTTCTACATAATGCCACCAACAAAGAAAAAAATATATAACCTCTTCACAAACATTCTTAAAAGTTAATGAATATTAAATTAATAAAAGCAAACAAAACTTACTCCCTCCTGACTTTAAGATGGATTTGAAGAGGTTACAGTTTCAGGATGGAAGATAAACCAGCATCATCATTCGAGAACAATGTGGCCTTTATTAAGAGAAATGTCACGCCTTCTGCATAAACATGTTATATTAAGGTGTTTTAGCTAGCAGCCTACCGATACAAGTTCAACGAAAAAACAACAGGACGTATGAAATGGACTTCATAGATTTTGTGCCTTTTGTTTGGGGACTAGGATAGATTATAGTTATAGCCACAAAAGGGTTGTTTAAACGTAAAGCGCAGTTAGAAATTAACCGTTTCCGAATATCAAAATGAAACTTGTGCACGAAAACCCTCTGCAGCGTGGCGTGATAAGACTTCTCAAAGCATGTCAACATAAGTTTGACGCCATCTTTTGAACGTTTGTCATACGTATTCCGAAATCAAACGTATGTTCGGAGTGCACATGTACACGTGTGTGTGTGCTGGAGCGTCACATACAGATTACTTTAACAGTACGAGCTTCTTAAAATAAATTCGTAAAGATGTTAGCCGAACTGGAAACTTATGTTCAGGATACTTACCGGATTCGAGGTGAACAGTTAAAAATCGCGTAGCGATTCAGTATAATGTGCACCAGTTTATTTACGCATTTTAGTCCCCAAAATATATGTTAATGATTTCCTCGTAAACACTATTAACACGGAGCAAAGACATGCGCATTAAGCATAACATAAATTGTCTAATTTCAGTTAATAATAGCTAATATCGGTATGAAAATAAAAATTAATCCATAGAAAGAAAGGAAGCACTTACCTCTGACGAGTAGGGAGTAAAGAAAGTATCAGAAAATGAAAAATAAGACTCAACCTTCTAACATGAAAACGTCGGGATCTTTTGCCGGAGTCAGAAGCCGACACCCTTCTTATTGACGAGCAACAGGTTAGTTCAGTTTGCAAGTGGGCTGAGTTTTGTAGGAAGCACAATGCTGAAGTGGAGGTGGGTATAATTCTTTGTTTGCCAGCTTCCGCCGATCCCGGCAACATAATGGTCCCTAAACGACGATTATGCTATTCGGCTTGCTATAAACCGGAAAAAGACGTTCTGCTCTAAACAGCAGAACGACAGAGCTGTGTTTTAATTGTATTACAACAGAGACTGGAAAAACTCCGCGATTTAGGTTCAAAATTGCCCGTGAATGGTGGGGATAAAGGAAATTATTAAAATGAATTAGCACATTCACTAACAAAACAGAACATAAATCTGCAAGAACTTTTTAAATGCATGTTCATAATACAATAGAAATTATAAACATGGAAGTAGATCGTCATTTTTGCTATTGTTCTTCATAATTAAAATTGCATTTACCATTATTAATGCCCGCAGCAGTTTTGTGGAATCATCTAATTTTCTGGCAGGTATCAAATTGTATCTGACATAATTTTGTCTCATTTGGAATTGTACGAGATTTATGAACAATGGAAATTTCCACGATAAAAAAAAATAAGACCGTTGTTAAATAGGAAAGAGTTTTCTTTATTAATATAGTGGTATCTACATTCAATCATCGTTGCTTTTTAAGGCAAGTCCTTCCGATTTAATTAATCGATGTTCCAAAAATTAAATGCAAGGAAGTGACCAAAATAACTAATTATAGAGTGAGTGGTAATAGTATTGTCTGTTTTTAATGTTCATTTCTGTGCTTTTCTGTTCTAGCTTTGGTGAATTCACAAGCAACTATCGTTCACATAGCTAAACATATCTAATCCTTTATTAGTTTTACAATTTTCCAGATTCATGAGTCATACTAGTCACTGAAAACTTCGTATAAAGTTAACTAAGTGGAGTTAAATCTTTCCAGCCTGTTTTAGTATCCCCTCCTCGTCACACCCTAGCAAACGCCAGGAACCAACGCTTCCTCTGAATAGTTGTCAGGTCCCTTCTCTTGAGTTTTTTTTTCATTGCCATGTATTCAGCCAATGGCAGGTTCCTCTTGAGATGGTTAGATCTGACCGGCCTCTTCATCAGTTTTTCTGAATAGTGGAGGAGATTTGTTTATTTATTTAGAAAAGGTTGTAGGTATTATTACAACTTTACAAGTGGACAGTCAAACAAATACAAGATAATAGCAAAACTGTCAAACTAAGGAACACTTACTTTGTTCCTTTACATTTGTTCCCTGTAAAAGAGAAATTATTATGGAATTTGTGCAAGAAAACTAATAATATCTCAGTCATTAGTCAATGATTAGGTGGCAAGATTTTTGAAATTTCTGTTGAAAATGTAGCACTGTATTTTATGACATAAGCTAATAAGTACATACAATTAAATGATTCTACATACATAAGAGAACACTAATCCCACCAGCTACAAGCAGGCATGTGAAGACCAAGCCTCCAATTCGCAGTCTTTCATAGTCTGAAGAAAATATTTAGACTAGGTGTTAAAGATGAGCTACACATGATCACAAAAGAATACAGATTCTGAGTTATTTAGCAGACACCTTTCTCCAAAGCAACATACAAGTGAGGATGAGAAAGCAGGGTTTATTTGTGTGTGTGTGTATACATATATATATATATAGACACACACACACACATACTTACATACATATATATGTATATATATATGTATGATTAGGCTGATACTGACAGTTGGATTGAATTGCAAAATTATATATAGTTTATATATAGTTACTTTGGAGGCATGGTAGGAAAACCTTCACTGTTCTTGACAAAACAGAATACGCTATGCATAGATTTATAACATAGAAAGAACAAAGAAGAAATAGTCACTTACTGTAAACAAATGGGTCTTCCGATAAGGAAGGGGGAGACATAAAAAGAGAAGAGCATATTAGCTCCAAACAAACAATAACCTTTTGTACTCCTTGCTCTCACATACTGTGACAAAGAACACTATATGCAGTGTTGTTATCTGAAAAAAACAACCACATTCATCTTATGCTTATGGAGAAAACGGTACAGAGCTGATACTTGTCTGATGTTTCAGATGTTCCCTGAACACGAAATTGGCAGGTGTTTGCTTACTTGCTTCAACTTCATTGAAGAATACAGAAAGAACTGTAAAAAAAAAATACTGTGAAGGTTTTTAATATAGGTAGAATGTGTTTAGAATTGAATCCACAATTCAACTGTGAAATAAAACAGTGAAGTATGAACATTCATTCATGCTCACATATGAAATAATCATGTACATGTTTGTGTGTTTTTATTTCACTTTGTATTTATTTAATTTATATTTATTTTAGGCCATGGGTTCTCTATGTTTGATGTGTGTCCTTGGGGAAGTAAAACTGACTCAGCATGCTCCAGTATGCATGATCACTGTATCGTATAACTTGCCTTTGGAAATAACTGAGAAAGTGGAAATTCTCATTCATTTGACAAAGTCATAAATAGAGACTGCGCAAAAAAAAAAAAAAAGTGATTCCAGCTGTGGTGTCTCTTTACCTGCAAGCAAAACCAGAGCTGAAAACCGACCCATCTTCTACCCAACCTGAATAAGGAAGGAGAAATGTATATCATAAAATAAATTATTCTGAAATACGATGACAGACAAAAAATGACTGGATTATCTGAAATATCAGACAATAAATTAAAAAAATAGAATTTTCAGTGGAGAGATCTTTATGTAAGCCAGGCCCAGTCATGTACCAAGAGCTGACATTCCTGCTGTTGGTGAGATGTTACCCGATGGCAGAAGGAACACAGCTGCTGTTTTGACAGTAAACGGCAGAGCACAAAGGACTCCAGTGTACCCTTGACCTGCCCTTGATCTTGCACTGAGGTGGAATGGAAATGTTTTGGAAACATAAGACTGTCCTCACTCTGTTGGGCCAAATCCAGTTTGTTTTCTGAAGTGCGACTCCCACTGGTTTGGGAGTTTGGGTAAACGTCAGCTGCCCAAGGTTGTTTTCCAGCCTTCCCAATGGGAAGAAGGGACATCTACATGCAGACATCTTATTGCTGTTGTCCAGCTGGCTTTCATTATGTTCTTGCTTAGGAGAGGCTTCATGTTGCCATTTTTGTGCAAAACAGACAGCAGCAATCAAGCTAATTCTCCATTTGTTCCACTGGATGTTATCTAATATGTAGGATTCATAAGTGAAAACATTTTAAATGAGTTCCTCTTCCCAAATAAAGAATAAATATTTAATCTGTTTTAATGTATCTAGATGAATGCCATAGTAACACAGCAGGTAAAATGACATTCTGGTTTCATTCAAGATTTTCCTTTTTGTATGATAGTGAATACCTGTTATTAGATGGGCTAAATTCTGTACTGCATGTACTCGTCTTACACCCTAAAGAACTCAATGTCTGTGCCATAGTACCTGTAATGGGATAAGGTATTATTATTATTTTTATTATTATATGTATTTATTTTTAAATGCCCAACCACCCCCCACCCCCCTTCGGAGGATGACTTTATTTTTAATTAACTGAACAACAGATCAATACATTAGGTGAAGCCCCTCCAAACCAGCCTATTATTGAAAATGGATTGCTCAACATGCAATTAAAAAATCTTTAACAGCTAAATTAATGTATAAGCTATTGATTTAATATTAACTGAAAAAAATCAGTATCTTGCCTTGTCTCATAACTGGTTTATCTTGTAACACATTGTTTGCAATACATTTTACAACACATTTTTAATTTTAATAATTTATTTTTAATAATTTATTTTACAACTGAGAAAGCAGGGTCAGCCAGTCCCTGAAGCAATTGGGATTAATGACGTTGCTCTAGGGACAGTGAAGTCACTCTGTCAACCATGGGATTTAAACTAGTGATCTTTACGATTACTGGCACAGAATAATAACTCAGAGAGCCACCCAGCACCCCCACATTTTTTCTACTAATCTAGTCCAAAATCTCTATTTTGCCCCCAAATAAATAATTGTGAGGGCCATTACATTTCATTGCTGCATGCACTATGATGGAGATGCACATTTATCAGATTTTCTTAATGTATCCAGACCAAAATTATACCAATTTGAAATTATAGACATGAAAACTAATTCATTTTTTCATTCATTACTTTTTAGGAATAGCAATTATTAAAAACATTTATTTTTAAATCTGTGAAATTAGGTAAATAACTTTGCTCTATAGAACACCCCAAACACTCAAATTACATCGGAATTTTACTGACCTGTACAGAGGGACTGCTCTCTTGGCAGGAATTCAGGGATGTCTGGTAGCAGCTTCAGGATGTCACTCGGCTTTCATATGTTATTTTACTTTTACCTTGAAAATGGCTCCTCCCCTTGTTTACAACACAAATACAAGAATACCTGTATGAGCACAACATGTTGTGTATAGAAGTCAATTGTTATGCCCCAAACAAAAGCCCTCATAGTTGTATTTATAGGTCAAACACTGGTTTATGTGAAAAATGAAATAAGCTACTGGAAGCCCTCATAAAGACTCTATCAAACATTTACATAAAACCCAATGAATGATAAATGTGTGTGAACCAGTTTTGGATGCCACCGTTACACTGGCACCTGATGAGTTGATATTGAGTGAAATTGTTCTGAACTGAGGAATAATGTAACGTAGTTGTCTTAGTTTTGTAGATACAAATAAGACTAAATTAGTACGATAATATAACTGAGAATCTTGATCTGTATTTCTTAAAAAATATATATTTAAATGTTTACTTAATAGGTCATAATACATAAATATAATCCAGATTATAGGAAATTAAAGAGAGGTTCTACCATTGTTCTTGCAATTTAGTAACACTTTAGTTAGTGCTTATCATTCATGAATAAATCGGAATAATTGCAATAATATTTCATGTGTCTCAATGGAGTAATGAATTAACTCAGTAACACTTTGGATTAGATTCATGTCCTGATGCTGTGTATGTTTCCATATGTCTGCATGGGTCTCTGCTGGGTACGTCCCAAGTCCAAAGACAGGTAGTTTTGCAACATGCAAATATTCGCTCAGAATCTAGCAGCTGAACTGACTACAGAATAACGTGTTGGCATAGCTATGTACACTATATTAAAATGCACATCTTAAATAACAAAGGCTTGGAAGTTCACAGCTTTTTTTGGGTTGTAAGTAATGCTACTTTCCATTCCCACTAAGCTCTAAAAGAATTAACTTTAGCAGTAGCCTGAATTAATTGACACACTTTATATCATATCAACCCTATTAACTGAGGACTTGGTATAGTACATTAGTCTTGTTTTAAGGAATTTACAAGGTACATATGGAAAGCATATGCTAAATGAAATCAAATGTAAATATAGATATGTGAAGGGAATATATATCTGGTTCATACTAAAATAAGAAGAAATCTAAATAAATTTTGGTGGAACAAAGCTACTTCTTTTAAAAACAAGCAATTTTGTTTTTTATAATACAATGACCATACTGTATCATTGAATCTTGGAAAGATTGTTTATTTTAATTTCTCATATATTTTAACACAAATTAAAAATAATTATAGCTCTAACCAACCTTTCAGCTTTACTGTATGTTGAACCGAGCAATTAATATTCACTTTTTCTGAATTGGCTAAAAGGTCGGCAGGAACAAAGCCAGCCTACCCTTTAACCCGTGAGGCCTAGATCTGCCAAACAGGCAACAGAACAACAAAGCAACAAGACAAAAGAATAGCAATAACATATGACCTTGTATACAACAGAGAATTTTAAGTTTTAATGCAGTCTGTGTGAGCACAGGGTATGGTATGTGAGGCACTCCAGGGGGAGGCACTCCAAGCGCTCTAATACTGTAATCATCTGGGCTGCGCGGGCCGGTTGGCCGGGGCCATTTCAAGGGTACTACAAAGTGACACTGTGGTATGGTTTCTGAGCCCGAGTCATGCCTGGATTCATACAATACAGGGAAGCATACTGTAATGTCAGTAACCTATGTTAAAATTAGGCTAAATAAATGTATACCTATTTCATATATAATTATATACTGTCAGTGTCCGTGATACATACTCTTTAGCAAGCTAAAACTGAAAATAGGAAAAGAGGGCAAAGCCAGCAGATTAAAGGAAAGAATTATCAGAATTATTTTATTTTTCTTTCAGGAAATTGCTGCTTTCAGAGAAAGAGGCAGAAAAAGCGAATGGAAGTACAGATGTTGGGAGTGTAATCTGCACGCATCATTGGAAAGTGTGGGGGAATCTAAGATGAACTTCTGCTGAAAGCTGAATCTAGTATATCATGCAATTCCTTTTAGGCCTTCAAATTATATTCCTCACTGCAACAACTAATAATGTGAGTTTAAGTAAGATGGATGTTTATATTTAGTGTCTTGCCAAATAGTGTGACATGCTTCGGAAAACAATTTTCCCAAAACATATGCATATGGGGCAAATATAATTTAAATAATTACCAGAATTACATGAATATGTATGGGATCTGACATTTTCATTAGTGTGCTACAGGCAGAGTGATTCTTTTCAGTAAATAGATTGTTTTACATTCAACTAAAAAACATGTTCAGAATCCATAATTGATTGATTCACTTTTTGCTTTACTTGTATTTATGGAATTGCTAACAATCATTATTTCTATATAACTAACAATACTATGTATTTCTCATGCATATTTCATTGCCCATTTATTATGATTGACGTGCAATGAAGTAATAATAATTAGCATCTGACATCAAAAACTGAATACAAAAATGAGATAATTTGTTGTGACTTTACAGTCACTGCCTAAATAACAATAGACTATTTCTAATGTATCCAAAATAATATAATTCACCACAACACTAAACAAAATTAAAGTATGAAGTTTTTACTCTCTGCATCGATACATACAAGCAGGGCTGTGGAGTCGGAGTCGGAGTCGAGGAGTCGGAGTCGGAGACAATTTTGGGTACCTGGAGTCGGAGTCGGAGTCGGCAAAAAGTTAACCGACTCCGACTCCGACTCCTACTAAATTTAAATGGGAATTAAAAAAGTAAGTTGAAATGTCCCAATTCACAAACAGTCATAATGAACTACTTCTCTGCTGTAAGAATAAAGCCCAATGCATGCAGTGCATAATGTAACCACAAAACGAACATGTCAAGTAACCATGAAGCATGCTTTTCATTGACTGTATGCGTCACTATATGGGATGTAATGCACAGGTAAGGTGCGGCACCGCTTTCCATTGTGTCGTGTTCCACTGTTACAGGGAACTGTGAACCTAGCCTAATGCCCCCCATACATTTACAGATGCACTGCCGATTTTTCGGCCGTTCAACGAGTCATCACGCGTCAAACGCCTGAAAAATCATCTGGTGTGTTCTCAGCTCCGTCGGCTCCCCTTCGCTATGCGCTACCCTTGAAACCTTGTTTTCATTGTGTTTGTCTTTAATCTGGCATTATAGTAGAGTGTTGGCTTCCTAGCCAGTAGTTCTGTGGTGAAATGACATGTATGTTGCCTTCCTTTCCTTCAATGGATGTAGAAAATACATTAGCATAGTATATACATACAGAGGAGTCGGAGTCGGGGAGTCGGAGTCGGAAGATTTAGAAACTGAGGAGTCGGAGTCGGAGCATTTATCTACCGACTCCACAGCCCTGCATACAAGATATCAGCATTTAGGTTTTGTTCAGGCAGTAAATGAACATTAAGACCTAGATGTTACGCCCTGTCCATTCCGTCTATTTCGTCTGGAGGTGTGCCTGGTTTAGGGCCACGCCTCGTACTGATTAGTCCTGCCTGTTGTTCTACCCCTCCTGTTGTGTGCTGCCTCGAGACCCCAAAATATCAAGATATTCTGCCTACTCTGCTGCCTACGACACCTCCACTACTTATGGCATCTTTCTGACCTGCTTGCTCTTCTGCCTGTGATGTCTTTCCTGTATGCTCTGCTGCTCTACCACTGTTTGTCCTGCTATCAGAAGCAGAACTTGCCTGCCATCAAATGCCTGCCCTCAGCTTTGACTCAAATCTTAAAACTTGGACAGTGTGAATTGGGACTTTGCCATCTTGCTCATTTTACTGCTGGCCCCTGGAGGATGGACTCCCCCTTTGAGTCTGGTTTCCCCCAAGTTCTCTTCCTTCTAGGGAGTTTTTTCTTGCCACTGTCACCTCTGGCCTGCTCACTGAGAGCTTTGGGCAGGGATAATGTAAAGCGTTTTTGAGACAATGTTAATGTTGTGAAAATGCACTATACAAATAAAATTTAATTGAAAATTGAATTAAATGATCACCCGGAATCTTTTTGTAAGACGATAAACTGTAATACTCTACTTCAGGGAACACAAATAATTTACTATTATACTCTTAATTAATCATCAACTAAATCTTACTTAAAGTATTAATTAACCATAAACAATATCTGTTCATGATTTTTATTTGAGTATTAACTGGGTTACCGAAAGTTACTAACAAACCATACTGTAAAGTGTCATGGCACCTGACACCTGCTTTCATTTTTGGCACCTAGCATGCAGTGCTGAGCTACCGACTGATCTCCACAGTGCGGAATGTCAGAAGCTGCTCCTGAGAGAACCACCAGCTGGGTAACACTTTACATATGGTTCAAATCTCAGTTACTACTCAAGTACAAATCATGAATAAATATAAAATAGTAAAACTATAGTAAAGTGTTACTGAAAAAACTGAAAAAATCTACCCAAACATGCAATTGACCCTCAGGATTTCGTGCCACTACTCCAGTCACTATGGCATCTGCAGAGAGAATGACTGTAAGGTTTCTATGGAATCAGATTTGTGCCAATATTATCAAGCAAAACTTTTTTGACATCAAGCAAAAACAATGCTTTGAGAAGAAAAAAAAACTAACTGAAGCAAAAGAAATGCCATCTCAAAAGTAAAATTTATAACTTGCAAACACGATTGGTCTTTTGATAATGTTTTCCTTGTTTACGCTGCCAGTTTTCTCACTTGCGCTGCCTGACTTTGCGGTTACGCTACCAGCTTTTTCGCTTGCGCTGCTTGACTTTGCGGTTACGCTGCCAGCTTTTTTGCTTGCGCTCCCTGATTTTTTGCTTACAATTCTGACACAAACTTCTCGCGTGGGCGGGTTTTTTCAGGGACGCGTCCCCATTGGCTAATAAGTTTTTGACTGACAGGTCAATGCCACGGACATTTTTAGTTAACAGCGGGACTGGATCGGACAGTTGCTACGTTCACACTGCGAGCGGTGAGAGCGTAAAAACGACCGGAAGTCATTCATTCTCTATGGGAGGGAGAGTCGGGAGGCCTCCACCAAGAGTGTCCAGCTGCAGACGCCTGTAGAGTGGAGCTCCACCGGAAATACGTCACCTCCACA